CCTTCCTGTACTGTGGCTGGGTGAGCAAAATGCTTATGACCTCATGGGTCTAAACCTCTCTTCTTCATAATGGATTATGCACAAGCCAACTTATCATCAATAAGACCAAGATGCTTAATAAATCTATTAAAATAATTTTTTGCATGATTATCAAAACTCCCATGGGGCTGGGGAAATGGATCAGCTGGTAAAGTGGCCACGGGTGCAAAGACCTGAGTTCTGATCCTCGACACCTACGTAAAAGCCAGACATAGCGGGGCTAATCTGTAATGCCAGGGCAGGGGCTGAAGAGGAGAGGACTCCTGCGGCTTGGTGGCCAGGGTCACCAATCAGTGAGATACAGGTCTGTGAGAGGCCCTGACTCCAACAGTAAAGTGGAGTGACACTGAGAAAGACACCCAACATTGACCTCTGGCCTCCACACATATGTGCATATGCAGCCGTATGCATATGTGCACACATGCATACACACACACACACACACACACACACACACACACAGCCCCTCAGTACAGATTATATAGAGAGGGAAAAGGAAAATCAGTATTGGGTTTATGTGCTTCCTTCATTTCCTAGGTGTGTATGTGTGTGTGTGTGTGTGTGTGTGTGTGTGTGTGTGTGTGTGTGTGTGTTGTGTGTGTGTGTGTGTTTAGACTGGTTTGAATGAACACACACACACACACACACTCCCCCACACTCCCCCACCCCGAACTTTGGCATGGTTCAGATTTGGCACCAGGGTAGTCTTTGTAGGCTGTTCGGCAGCACCCATGCTTTTTGCCCACTAGATGCCAGCAGCACCTACCTCATACGACAGCACAAACTCTCTCCAGGCATTGTCACGTGTCCCTCAGGTGACCATATCCTTTTTTCAGAACCCACTGCTTGAAAATGAAATTCTAAGCACCTTTCTCTGTTAGACCCTGCCATTAAGGAGATTGGCCATAAACTCAGTATTCCTCCAAGTCAGACGTTTCGAGGGAACCCATTTACCCCTCCGGCTCTCAGGCTTGTCTCCGTGTAGGTTTCTCTCCACTTATGTCTGAATTATTCGCTTAGGCTCCATTCCCAGATATGGAATGGGTGGGACCGGATAATTTAGTAGGGTGGTGGAACTGCAAACCTAAGCCTTGAAAACAAGGAAGCTAGAGGAGGTTTTGCTGAGTCAGACTCCGTGTCCCACAGCCCGCTGTCGGGTGTGGGCTTCTTCCCGCTGTTGCCTGGGGGAGCAGAAGCCGTGATGCCCCTCTGTGCCCATAAAGCCCATCTGCAGGCAGTTCATGGGCAAACCAGGCAGCAAACACGGCTGTGGAAGGCAGCAGGATAGCACGTTGCGAAGCTGTTGTAAACACCCCGGAACCGTTATAAATAAATTATTAGGGATCACTGACAGCGGAGAGAATGAGTATATTTGAAAGAAAATTGTGCTTAGCTGGCTTTGGTTTCCTTGATGAGGGATGCCCAGCGTGTCAGGGACCCCACTGTTGAGTGAAGGGGATTAGGGTCGGGAGGGAGGTTCTGAATGGCAAGTCCCCTCTTGCAGGTCTGCTCTTTACGAGGACGTGCCTGGGTGTGTGCACACTTCATCTCGGCTGCCGTCTCCTGAGCCTTTATTTAATTGCGCATCTGTCACCTGGTTCTGTACCACCCCAGCTGCCAGTTGGCATTTCCATCCATGCCGGGATGAAGGCCTCTCCGAGGCGGTACAGGCCTCTCAGAGGCCACATGCAGTAGGCTGGGCTTCCCCCTTGATGTCTAGGGTCCAGCCTTGCTGGATGGGTCGCTATAACCTCTGGATGCAAGAGCCAGGCAGACTTTCCGGAACAAGGGACTGATCCATTGAGAGCCCTGACGAAAGCTTCCCCTGAAGTATTTGTTGAAACAGAGGTTAAAGTGTCAGAAATCTGTCAATCAGTACCTCAGATCTCTTCCACGGCAGCCGTTTACACGCCACAATTACTTTACCAATCCTCAGTCCCTTACTGTGTTGGCCAGATATGGTTTTAAGGAGTATTTTAGCACTGTTTTATTCCTTGCTATATTTAATTTGGGGAGCAGGGTGAAAAAAGAGGGAAATAAAAAAAAAAATCCCACCAACAGCCTGTTAGTAGCTTGCTGGTTCCTTTGCCTTGTCTTTTCTTCCCGTGATATTTGTGAAGTTGGATTCACACGTGGGCCCCTTCACCCCTCTGCAGATGGCTTGAAGCGGCTCTTGTCTGATGTGTGATTTTCAAAGCCCCTGACCCTTTGTTTCGTCAGTGAAGGTCCCTTAGTCACTCAGCCTCTCTCCTGCTGCCGGGTACTTCAGTTGTTGGCAGGGTTTTATTCTTTGTTGACTCTGTAAATAATAAAGGTCTTCCCATAACTTTTTCTGATTAAAAATATTCCCTATGGCTAGATATTTGGCGGTGGAATAATAGAGCAAAGAACAAAAACCAAAAAAAGGGTACTTAGTTTTCTTTGTGGAAGTGGTTCTCAACCTGTGTGTCGCGTGACCCCTTCGGGGGTCCAACGACCCTTTCACAGGAGTCCCATATCAGATATCCTGCATATCAGATGTTTACATAACAATTCATAAATAGTAGCAAGATTACAGTTAGGAAGTAGCAATGAAAATAATCTTATGGTTAGGGGCGGGGGTCACCACAGCAAGAGGAACTGCCTTAAAGGCCATAGTATTAGGAAGGTTAAGAACCAGCGCTTTAGGGGGAGTGTTTTCTGAAAGTCAGCAGTGGGTTTTAGGTCAGCATCTTAAAGCCAGTCTTGACAGTGGAAGGGGGTCTCTGTGCAGACGACCTGCATTTGGGAGATGCTGACCAGGACTGAGTGCAGACTCCTACATACACACATCTGACCATTATTGAGCAAGCAGGCTGGTGGTGCTTGGCAGGGATATTTGAGAAAACCGGCTTCCCCAGTAGCCTGGTTTGGGTTTGACTGTGTCTCTTGCTCTGGGCTGTGGAAGCAAGGGACAAGAGATAGATCTACAGGAAGTCTGCTTGTTAGCTTTCTGGCTGAAGGCACAGCCCAGCAGAAGTGCGCGTTCTTTGGAGAAAAGCTATGATACATTGGTGACTTTGAAAGTCATGTAAAACAACAGAGGAATAAAAATGCTAAAAGCCTCCTGTGAGGCTGGGAAAGGGCATGCGTATAAATCCGGAATTCCGGAGGAGCAAGAGCTGAGCTGGTCTGGGAGTTTTTGAGCTTGAGAATGATTTTTCTGCCATTGCGGAGGGATCTGAAGACGTAGATTAAGGCCCTCCTTGTGCCGGACTAGCTAGAGTTTGGTCATGTCGGCTCCAGAGAGAGCTACTGTTGTGCCTGCCTCCACAGGTCCAATAACATGACATAGATACCCACCAGAGAAAGCCCCAAGGTGCAGTGAACAAAACTGTCACACACAACGAGAGGAGAGCACCGTGCAGCTGGAGAGGATGGTGGGCTGTGAGCTCCTGGATGGAAGGCACAGGCAGGGTGGGGAGCTGCCTAGGGGAGCCCCGGAGAAGGACTCTGGAACTAGGAACAAAACAGGGCTCTAGTCCCTTATATAAGGAAAATTTCAATGTAAAGAAAGATACCTATGTTTCAGACAGAGTGGCTGAAATACCTCAGAATCCAGAACATCACCTAGAGATGGAAACTACTGAGGAAGTGACAGGCTGGGTCCCTTCATCAGGCAGCTAGCAAAGGGGACATTTCTCTAGGTTCACTTGATTCGATGGGATGAATAGAAAATGGCAGATGGAGCCAAACAAAGTATATTGAATGCTGAGGATAAAGAACTAGGCGCCCAAACGCACTAGAGTATGTATAAGGCAGAGTCTGGTATCCAACTTGTCCTCATTAGCATGGAAAACTGGAGGGCAGGAATATGCCACTTTCAGACTTGTGAGAAGCATGAATGCGGTGCCTAGTCACCCACCTGTAAAAGGCATGTGTGGGTCTGGGGAGATGGGTCCTTTGGTAAAGTGTCAGAGTCTGGATCCCAGTATCCCCATAAAAGCCAGGCTATATGGAACACATCTGTAACCCCAATGCCTTCTGGGAAAAGTGGTACAACAGGCAGATCCTTGGAGCTCATTGGCCAGATAGACTGGTTAAGCCACGGGTTTTGTGAGAAACCTTGTCTCAACAAAAAAACAAACAAACAAAAAAAGGTGGCCAGGCATAGTGGTGCACACCTCTAATCTCAGCCTCACGAGAGGCAGAGGCAGGGAGTTGTGTGAGTTCGAGGCTCAGTTCCCAGACAGCCAGGGCTCCATAGTGAGATCCTATCTCAAAAGTAAATCATTAAGGTGGAGAGGGTTGGAGAGGGACCCCTGACATTGGCTGTTGGCTGCTTGCTGTACACACACACACAAACGCATCTCTGAGTTTACAAGAATTTTACCTAAAGGAAACCCCTGGGTAGCCCTGATACATAAATGGATCCTGTAGATGGTAAAGTGCAGTGGTGGAAAAACCAGGGAAATCTGTGTGTAGTTACATTTTATGGGGCGAAGACATTGGGTAAGGCTTTGTGATGCATTCAAATAAGTAGACACGAGACAAATAGGCCATAAAGAAAATCTCTGTGATCGGAAACTACACTAATCAGCACGAAACCCAGGTAAAATAAGTGACCTAAAGGTTTTGCCCCTGATGGCTGAGTTGTAATTAGTCACCCCCTGACTCCTTGTTTGCCTGTGACACCATCAAGTTAGACAGATGTTGAGAATGCTTGGTATTTGAAAACAAGAGCTCCCAGGGCTGGAGAGAGGGCTCAAAGGTTAAGAGCTCTGGTTGCACTTGCAAGGGACCTGGGTTTGGTCCCTAGCACTCACAGGACAGCTCCCAACTGCCCAAAAACTCCAGTTCCAGGGAATCCAAGATCCTCTCCTGACTTCCATGGGCACCAGACATGCACATAGCGCCCATGCATACATGGAGGTAAAATATTCATACACATACAATAAAAATAAATCCTAAAAGAGAATATCCTAAATAAGAAGCAAGGGGTCGCAGCAGTTCGTGCGGTGGCGGCCGAGGCGGTGTAGCTCAGTGACGGGTTCGGCCTCGCACGCGCCTCCCACCCAGCGCCGCCACGATGCCCAAGAGGAAGGTTAGCGCGGACGGAGCGGCGAAGGCGGAGCCCAAGCGGCGCTCGGCGAGGCTGTCGGCCAAGCCCGCCCCTGCCAAGGTGGACGCGAAGCCCAAGAAGGCCGCGGGGAAGGATAAACCATCAGACAAAAAAGTGCAAACAAAAGGGAAGAGGGGAGCAAAGGGCAAACAGGCGGAGGTGGCTGACCAGCAAACCACAGATGTGCCTGCAGAAAATGGAGAGGCTGAGAACCAGAGTCCAGCCTCTGAAGTGGAAGAGAAAGAAGCCAAGTCCGACTAACCATCCATCGTGTCTGTCAGTGTCCC